TAGACCTGTGTGCTGTGCAGGAAACAAGATGGTCCAGTTGCAAGTCAAGGGACATCGGTCGACGCTTTAAAGCCCCTTTGTGTGGCAAACCAACAACCACCAACGGAGTGGCTGCAATAGTCTCTCAGGCAGCGTTCATATTTCGCGACAGCAGCGGCGATCGCGGCGACCTCGGCGATCGCCGCGATCGTCGGTACGTGGCAGAGCGCGCCCCAACGCTATTGCTTGCGTCCCGAAGGCTTTTGGGAAGAAGCGACTCAATTTCATGCTTTTTCCTTTAATTGCAATTTTCTTAGATACTGAAGCTTGGTTTGACACAAGAAACGTGAATTAACTTCATTGCTTTTGTTTTCTACTTTATTTCTTGATTCAGGATAGAAAAGAGCAAAAAAACGTGAGAGCTTCATTTAGGCAAGATTTTTATTGTTCCTTTTTTTCATTCGTCGAGCTTATACGTTAGGTTATAACGTTTTTACCTATTGATGTTGCTCAAAATGATTAGTGTTTTGGTTCCCAGGTGAGTTTCTTTCTGTTTCTTTTTTTTTCTTCGTTGTTTGAACATGACTTAAATTGTGAATGTTTTGGAAGTTGAAACAGTTCGGACGATTGTAATTTCAAGGCGCTTGCATAAGTTGAAACAATAAAAACAAAAGAAACAAAAAGAAGCTCATCCAGGAAATGGAGTTGGCCTCATCCCGATCTAAAAAGAAGTGAACTCTCACATCATATTCCAGATCCGCTTATGTATAGAAAGTCGTAGGTTATCAGTTAGTGGCCATTATTAAGAGAAAAAAGGTCTCAAAAGTCGGATTTCCTTATCAAGCGAGCACATAATAGCTTGGGGCGCGCTCTGCCATGTCCGACGATCGCGGCGATCGCCGAGGTCGCTGCGATCGCCGCTGCTGTCGCGAAGGATGAATGCTGCCTCAACGTTTTCAGGGACTCGATAGCAAGCATAGCACGCTCCGATGACCGCCTAATGAAGATCGTTATTTGCCCTATCGAACAGCGGCTGTACAATTTCTTTTCTGCCTCGTTCTGGCTCCACAGACGGGATACGCCGAGCTATCCAAGGGCGAGTTCTGATCCCTTGCTCGAGGAGACGACACCTGAGATACGAATATATATGAATACCGAGAAGACAGCACAAAGGACGTCGTAATTGTTGTGGTGACCTAAATGGGCACGAGCTAGGCCTACGAAAGGCGGCCACAGTTGTCACGGTGGTTCCGGTTATGGATCAACGTAACGCCGATGGTGAAAGTATTCTCGACTACGGGGGGGGGAGGGCAAAAAAAAGTCATTTTGCCTCCATGACTTTGAAGGCGCTACATGTTACACTTTATTAAATTTTTACATTTTTACTACCATTATACGAGCAGATTAAATACTATAATATACTCCGCCACAGGCCTTCTGGAGGAGCGCCATCGAGAGATTCGGCCGCGCGAAAGTGAGTGGGTACCGGAGTTGAGCGAGATCTGTTTGATTTCTCCGCCACTGTAGACCACCCTGTTGAGCTCCGCCCGAACCGTGTAATTGAGGGGGGTTTAGTTCAGGACGCCCGCTTAAATACTCCATCTTTTCCAGGTACTCAACGTTCTTCCATTCCAAGTAGGCGAAAGTTTTTCCAACGCCCTCCGATTAAATTCACCCAATCCTGTAGCAGACGACATGAAGATGTGATATTCTCCTCGAGTTGCTCGATGTAGCCACCAGCGCACACCCTCAGTCTGGGGCGAACGAAGAAAATATCAGTTCATTCATTCCAAGTACCGCCGGTCCACACCATCAACCCGCGCTTTTTTGAATGGGGTGAAGATGATATCCTGGACCATGGCGACGTTGCCGGAGCTACTCGATGTTTTAGGGCTTGCAGATCAAGAGCACTGGTCTCCAGGTAGCTATCCATGGGTGATTCCATTCAAGAAGTTCCGCAGCTGTTTGGAGGCCACGTAAATTCCAAAGGCGTTCTCCACTCAAACCGCGACTGGATATGACTTCATATTTTGGTTTATATGAAGGTGAATGGCGGCAGCCGACTCCTGCTTATAGAGGAAGGTCTTGGGTATCTTCCGCCCCGGTACTCATATCCACTTCCTCTGTCTGGGCTGCGAAAACTTCGCTCATATGTGACTCGGCCGGAATGACTTTTTTTTGCCTCCCCCCCCCTGTATGCAGAGACCCATAAACTGGTCATCGTGAACACGAAGTTTCGCAAACGTGACTCCCACCTTATCAGCTTCTACAGTGGGAGTGCCAAAACGCAGATAGACTTTGTCCTTGTGAGACACCGCGATCAAAGGCTCATCAAGGACGCGAAGGCGATGCCGTACGGGACAGTTGCCACACAACATCGCTCCTAATCTGCACGCTTAAGATCGCAAAGCTCCGGTTTAAACGAGTCGAGCGATGTGGTCCTGAGAGGATTAAATGGTGGCGTTTGAAAGAAAAGGAGGCAGCTGTGATCTCTCGTATACGACTTCCCATCGTCACGACTGTCGATGCGACCTGGAAAAGTGCTTAGACATATATGAGGCCGCTCGTTCCGAACTTGGCGTCACGAAGCCGGGAAGGCCTACACTTGATAAGCAGCCGTGGTTATGGACCGACAATGTCAAAGAAACGGTTCACGAGAAGAAGAGCGCGTTCATTGCCAACAAGTCAGCTAGTAGCTGGCGTAAGTACAAAGAAGCGAAGAAGGCTGTGGCTGCAGCGAAGGCCGCCCACTTCGAAGATGTCGGCAAATAGCTTGATTCACGCGATGGTGAGCGGCACCTCTACCGACTTGTCAAGGCTCGGCAACCTCAGACCGAAGATACCGAGATATTTCCCGGCGTTAGCGACGAGCATGGCCGCCTTTTGATGGACCGAAAGAGAGTGCTGAGGCGATGGCACGACTTCTTTGAGAATATTTCAACCGTAGAGTATGCGCACCCGGCCATCCCTTTCGTCCCCCAAGTATGCGGTCCCGTTCAGAAAGTAACCGTAGAGGGGACGAAGGCGGCTATCAGAAAGATGAAGTCAGGCAAAGCAACAGGACCTGACGACGTGGCAGCCGACTTGTGGGAGGCACGGTGCTAGTATCCTGTACAACGGTTGGCTGATTTCTTCAATCAGGTCGTTGAAGAAGACGCCCAAGGACTGGCAAGAGAACACGACGATTCCGATTTGGAAGAAGAAGTGCAGCCCTGCGGACTGCTCGAACTACCGTCTAATTCGCCTGCTGTCACACAGTAAGAAGATCTTCGAGCGTATTGTTGACAGTCGTATTCGCGTAATCGTCCAGCTTTCTATCGATCAGTGCGGCTTTGTGGCAGGCTGTAGCACCATCGACACCATACACGCCGCGCGCCTTCTGTTGGAGAGACATCGTGAGAAGCAAGTACCAGTGCATCTAGCTTTTCTGGACCTAGAAAAGACATTCGACCGTGTTCCGCGTGAAGTTATATGGTACGCCTTGCGGCAACACGGCGTTCCGGAAGAACTTATTAAGTGGGTGTGCATCCTGTACTCCAGCCCAAAGAGCCGCGTGCATGCACCATCAGGCACTTCTCAGGACTTTCCCATCATGGTCGGAGTACATCAGACTCTGCGCTCTCTCCACTCCTTTTCGTGGTCGTCTTGGATGCAATCTCGCGAGATCTCCAGAAACCGAGTCCCTGGACGCTCCTCTACGCAGATGATGTGGTGGTGGCCAGTGAAGATAAGAACGAACTCGAGCAGCAGGTGCAAGCTTGGCCTGATCGCCTGACAAAATTCGGACTGAAGTTGAACATCAAAAAAACCGAGTACTTGACTACCGATGCAAATGAGTTTGATTCCATTAGGATCAGTGGCATCGAGCTCACACGCATAAGAGCCTCCAAGTATCTCGGATAGAAATCGTGTCCGATGGCAGTCTGATCTCAGAGGTGAACTCTCGTGTGAGTGCAGCATAGGCGAAATGGCGCTCGATGACTGGAGTCCTGTGTGAAAAGACCACACGTAGCATCTCAAATCGAAGATTTATAGGACTGTGGTCAGACCAGTAGCGTTGCTCCGGGCTGGGTGCTGACCTGCAACCAAGCCCGCCTTGGTGTGATGGAGATGAAAATGCTACGCTGGACGGCCGGTGTCACGTGTATGGATCGGATTTGCAACGATGACATACGCAAGAAGTTTGGCCTAGCTTCCATAGTTGATGAAATGCGAGAATCTCGTCTCCGGTGGTATGGCCACGTACTTCGCGCGAGGGCGGACACGTCTGCAAAACTGTTCTCCAGCTCGAGGTGCTCGGCAAACGACCGAGAGGACGCCCCAGGCAACGTTGGCTTGGCACGCTGCACGCGGATTTAAAGATAGTTGGTGCTCACCTTGATCACGCATTCGACCGGAATACCGAAATCAGGAGAGGGGACCCCGCTACAGAGCGGGACAAACGCCGAAGAATAAGAAGAAGAAGACTCGTTGGTACGGTAATAGGTAATAGGTCCGATGGGTCAATCAGCCGTGGGTGCGGATTATTGTACTTTTCAGCCTCCACCCTCTTTCCGTCCGTACATGTCTGTGCATGAATAGAGGATAGTTGTTGCCCATTTGGCGCATTCTAAATAATCTCATGAGTCGGTACTACCTATCCCACTATTACAACCAGAAAAGAGCAGTCAGAAAATAGATAAATAATTGCTGAAACTTGAGCTGTGAAGGTCAGTCGATGCATTGATGACGAATGTGGCACTTCTGGCTGTGGTGCCATTTATCGCCAGTTCAGCCATATCTTCTTTCCACCTAATGCGTCGAGTACCCTCATATGAAGGATGTTTTGCGCTATTATGGCGCCAAATTGCGTCGGTTCCGAAAATAAGTGTCAGAATTGTAGTCAGGACCATCGATAACCACCACAGAGGAACGGATGTTGAATCTTTGACTTACGTGGATTGTAGTACATAGTGATGACCGGAGTCTCCTACCTGCGCAGTCACGGTGACGAAACGGGCCACCGGCGGACTGTGTCGACAATATGCAGCGCCTAAGGTTCTTCATGCATGGCATACGCCTGGCTGGTCGCTGGAAAGCATCCTAAATCCTTTCCCGATTACCGACTGCTCATTCTACAAAGTTATCGTTTTCTCATACCGATAAAAGAAAAATTTCACTCATACGACTTTCACAACTTTTCTCAGGTGTACTTGGTGGAGTATTTACTTCCTTCTTTCTCCATGGGTTTTATCGTTCCTAACAGTCTCTCTTTGTACTTGAAATATTGGTGAATTCCTTCTAATGCCGAACAGCATCATATGGTGGAATATTTTATTACGCCGACGTTTCGACAATCTCGTCGTTTTCAAAGGCCTGAAAGCATACCGAAACATGTGAAATGCTGGCTATCCTATTCAACACGGGCCCGGCCTCTCACTAGTTGCAACCCTGACTAAGGAACTACAGACGAAAAGTAAACTCCAACAATAAATTCATCATCGATTCCACCAGGGCCGATGAACTGCTCAACTCAATGACTTTATGAAGCAAGTAAGGCTCACTGTCCGCACTGCCATAATGTGATAAGGTTGCACCTGCAGTGCATCACTTTCGCACTGTTAAAGACAGTTGGCACGATAGGACGCTATACAAATGGATTTATACGACTGGCTTGTGCAGAATTCCGTGACCTCAGACAGGCGCTCCGTGGCGCCTTTTCCAAGGAGGGTACCCCTATAACCCTATCGAGCAACAACATTCCGTCCCAAACGCCTTCCTCGCCCGCCCGCCCTTAAATGGACGACCGTTCCTGACGCTGCTATTCATTCATTTGCTAATCAAATTATGAAGCAAAGCGATTGGTATGAAGCGGCGGTGATGCTGCATGCATATATGGGTACACATATGCAGTCGTATCTTCGGTAGCGGTAATTGGCAAGATGTCTACGGGAAACTCGTCCGAAATCGATTTACAAGTCACTGATAAAGGAGGCTTTTTCTTCGCCGGATTTTGACCGTTTCAGTCTGTTTTCGCCATTTCCCCTCTACATAGCATAGAATTTTAGGTTGAGTGGGAAACCATCGTGCCAACTGCCTTTAAAGCCCACATGGCGGAATATACGGTAAGAAATCGGCAGTTATTGAGATGCATTCATTCCTATTATTACTAGATGGTTCACGGTGCTTTATCCAGAGAGTCTCGAGAGTTTTCCTAGCACCACCATCATCATCGTGCATTCATCATCAAAATCACAACCGTATGATTTTTCCTTCTATGCTTGCCGAGCGGTGCAACTAAACTTTCCTGGATTTTGCTAGCCAGATGTGCCTTAACGCGTATATTTAAAGACAGCTCCCGCGATCAAAGTGGCTCGTGGTCGCCTTTGCTGTGCAAGTAGTCTAGCCTCCAAGCTAGAAGACTGTTCACCTTTCGCGACTCTATTGTGAGCGTGAAGGCTGCTATAGCCGCTCAAAGTGCTAGTTCTAACTCCTCCTCAGTCGGACCGCCTTTACTTGCTAGATGTCCTCCGACGGAGGCCACTACTTGTTCTTAGTTGAAGCGGCGGGCATTGCTAATGCCCCTGGATATTTCTGCTTTCCTTCATTACAGTTCACTCATTGGAGGTATATACATTCAATTCAACCCATTTCGCGAGGTGAAATGCGTAAAAAACACGAGTGACGCAATTTTCGTGATGCAAAACCACGACGCACAAAAGGCGCGTTTACCGTAATCACAAATTCAGTCAACGCGTTGATAAAATTCCTTTTTCTCTCGGCCAGAGTTTTTCCTCCGCGTTTTTGTTGTTTTCTTTTTTGTATTCTTTTCTTTGCACTAGATGATATCAACTACTGTGAGATGTGATAGAGATATTTGTTAGCTAGGGGCTGCACAGAGACGCAGGGAGGTGTAACTGTGAGGGAGCGATTTTGTTTATGTTGTTCTGGAGAACGCTTCTTGCCAGTTTTCTTCTTTGGGAGATTACTTATCGGCTGCTGTTTCATAATTGGGAAGCAGCTATCCACGAGACTTTTATCGCGGGAGCTGTCTTTACTGCCTCTCACTTTCACCAATCCATACCTAATATCAGGGGCCACAAGTCAAACATTGAATTTGGCAACTTACAGCCCATTGTGCACAGTCACTCACTTTCCCATACGGACAACGCAGTTCCCCATAGTTCCCTGTGCGTTTGTGCATGAAAGGCGCATTTTGTCATTCTATCGATTGACGGTAAACAGTAGTATCCGATAGATGGAGCTCTGTGATTTCTCTATCCATGGATTCGGACAATACCACGGATTCTCCACCCTTGTTGCTGACAGAAAGGCATATTTAATTGCGCGATATTCTATCCCCGATCTCCTTGAACCCTTCCCATTGCTCATTGCTCCTTCGTCAAATTACTGCGCTTTTCTCGCCTAAACCTGTCGAGCACTCTCGATGATAGTATCCGAAACTTTATATCAGCCTCGGGAGGCGGGTCAGGCTCTTTATAAAATTGTCGCGGAACGGAATAGATGTTGTTATGCTTGAAGCACTGTGCTCCAACCTTCCACCCACATTTCTCTGGGAGTCGCGTCGCGTCTTCGTCCTTAACAGATCTCCGAAAACCGCACACTATTTTGCGATTCGTAAGCGTTTGTGTTAATGAGAACGATGGCCCCAAATTCAAAAAATTCATACCTTTCTTTCGACGTAACTTGTGCATCTCCAATCGCTGTGACTCTTGCCGATTCGGGTACGGTGTTTGTACCCTGAGCATTTTCATGCTCGGATCGGCTGGTGTTGGCTGAGAAGTAAGCGCTGCCAGAATTCCCTACCCGTTGCTCGCCCCTCAGTGAGTTGTACTTGGCACAGAGCGTAGCTTCTACATTAGAGTGGATAGAATCGCATATCTGGCTCGATTCACCTTTGATCCTTGTCCATGTTTCACGTGGTAGCAGGCGGCGACAAGAATCTTCTGTACTGGTGCACTTCAACAACATCGCATACAGTAGGTGTTGTTTTTCTCTGATAGGCACACCAAGTAGCGATCGGTAGATACTCATTATTCTTGGATGTGTATCAGGTAAGCCGCATACTGATCCGAGTTTCTTATTTGAGTTATTTTTTGCTATAATTCAATTATTTATTAAACTTTTATTTATTTATTCTTATTTATTTATTTCTTGTCTTTTTATATTGAAAAATGAGGAAGCTTGGGTATTGAGGCAAGTAAGAATGGTTTCGGTGAAGGGACAAGGCGCAACCCAGTGCACAATAAACTAAGGTCAAGTGTTTTTGGTTCGTCTCATTGGTCACGATTTTGATACTCATTTCCGGCGCCGACGCATTGGCATCAGACTAGTGCAGAACGTTCCCTAAACAAGTTTACTCAACGCAGTCGGTGTTAGAATGGCAGATGAGCACCAAAAAAACGGAAACGATCAGTGAAAGTTTTGACTTAAGTGCAATGGGGGCGGGGGGGGGGGAATAGCCGAACCAAGACCGTCTCTCTTTTGTTCGTCTGAGCCTTTTGTCGAGTGTTTGTTAGGCAGTGATCCTCTCCCTAACCCTCCCACTTCTGCAACGCAACCTCAGCCTGTAGTGCACAGGTGCAGAAAATGGGCGTGACCTAGTCTCACCTACTGGGAACGTCAGTATCGAAAAATAGTACGAAAATAAAATAGTTCTCATGCTTCACACTTTATGAGCTGAAGGCTTCAGAGTGAGTCTAGATTAAAGCATTGAAGAATAGTGAATAAATTCTTTTCACATTACTTAATTCAGGTCAGCAGTAAGCCTTAAATGTAGTTAACGACTGGCCAACGTTAGCAGCGTTCTTACTTTGCGACAGCAGTGACGATCGTCGGTATGCTACAGAGCGCACCCCAGTGCTATAACTTGAACCACTCCTAGTTCTTTTAGGAGAAATTGGCTTAACTTCGTGCTTTTTCTCTTTTAATTGCAATAGACTCAGGTACTAAAGTTTGTTTGAACTGAAGGAAAGGTGGATAAAACTTAATAGCTTTTCTATTTTCTTTTCGCTTCAGGATAGAAAGCAAAAAGCGAGGAAGCTTCATTTAGCGTAAATTTCTTGTGTTTTTTTCATTTTTCGATCTTGTACATGAAGTTATAAAGTTTCGTCCTCCTCGATGTTGCTTCAAAGGATTAGCGTTTCGATTCCTGGGTGAGTTCCTTTCTAGTTCTTTTTTCAGTGTTTGAACTCAACTTGTAAACTGTAAATGTTTTAGAAGTTGGAATAGTCCAGCCAGTAGGAAAGTTTCAAGACACAAATTAAAGCAATGAAAACGAAAGAAACAATAACAGCTTGAAAACAAAAGAAACAAGAAGAAGCTCTTCTATCAAATGAAGTTGCACTTATTCCGCTCTAAAAAAGGTTACCCCCTTCCTTATATTCCAGATCCTCTTAAGTAGAGAAAGTGCTAAATTTCCAGCTAGTAGCCATTATTAAGAGAAAAAAGGTATAGCATGTTGAATTTCCTTATTCATCAAAGCGAGCGGTCCAAGTAACAGCGTTGGGGCGCGCTCTGCGGCGCACCGACGATAGCAGGATCGCCACCATCGCCGGTGCTGTCGCCAAGTGTGAACGCTGCCTCAACCATCTTTGGAGGCTTGATGGCCTCATTGTTCAAAGAAATTTAGTGAGTGACTTCAACTCAGATATGCGCATATAAGTTAACGAGCCCATAGGCATCTCATTGCGCATTATGTTCTTTTTTCGAGACTGTTTTCAAAACTTGAACCATATTGTTGTTTGTTACAGGTTTGCAAAGGTTGCACTGAGAAATCGGAGTACGTTAAGAAGATTGAGGAGCTGAAACCAAAATATGTGAAAGAGGAGCTGTAAAAGTTTCTATTGCGGCTTCCACCAGATCATATTACCTAGATGTGTTTCTTCAATTATTTACTTTTTCCTTCCCTCACAGCTCTCCCAGCTTGGAGCGATCTATAATTCTAGTTCCTGCTACACATTCTTGGAAGAATTAGGCGCTGGGTGACTTGTTACAAAGGTCGCCGGTAAAATCACCACAGATCCAATGGCTTTGAATCACAGCAGATGTACCCTTTGCTCATATACATTGCTGATATTCGTTTGTTCCTTATTCTATCGTTGTTTAGCCTCGTACTGGCACCTGTGCATTAGCCCCAGTTGCCAATAAGTGATCACTGAAACCATCTCTGTTCGGAAAGTCCTTTCCTGAGAGCGGTGCACCCTACGCGCTGATCCATGTTCATTACAGCTTTTGTTGCACAGGTTAAACAACCCCCTCTATGCACATGATTTTCAGTCGTTGGATTACCTGCTGATTTACGGGCGACATATTGGCGACAGGGATTATTTACTATAAACTCAACTTTGACGTGTTTTTGCTTTTGCATTGTGTTGAGCATATATTGTTGTTATGAGTTCTGTATGGTTTTTGTGAATAGATAAACGTTCCTTGCAATGTGTGTCTAGATTTTTTATTGGTTTAAGACCATGTATTTTCTTATTGAATGTAAGGTTGAGTTTTAATATCAAATACTCTTTATTAACTGTGAAGAGGAAAGTTTCTTTCAGCATTTCCGTTTATTCACCGCTTATTAGAGCGCGGTATGAGCTTTGATTTCAGTATGTGAAATAACCTATTTCAGTACTTAACTGCTGTGAAGAAATTTCTGTAGAACCGTGGGTGGACTCTGTTAGCCTCAAGGCTGGACCTTCAGATTGACCAGGTGGCGACGCGAACTCGGAATTTCGCAGATCCTACGTGCCGGGGTTGACACCTCTCCACTTCCCTACTCTTTAACATCATTTCGACGTCCTCTCGCTAGATGGGAATGACGTGACCTAGTCCAGGGAATGACATGACCTAGTCCATTGGGGCAGGAGCACAACTTGCGAGGAACGGCATAAATCTTCAAACGATCACAATCTTTGCCTTCAATGGATTTCACTGGGCTCGACAGTGTGGTGGTTACCTCATGATAGAAAGTGCGTTTTTTTCTGTAATTCGCACATGGAAGCACCCGTCGCGGTGGTGCTTCCATGTGCGAATTACACAAAAAAATTACACATTGGAGCGCAACGTGACTGAGATTGCACCCCGAGGCTGCATCTTTATGCTCCGTGGTGACAGAGGAAGCATTCACCTGGGGTCGGCTATCAACAAAACCCATTATTATCGCCGGTTCTGGTTATTTAGATGTGTGTAGCGAACTGGAATGCAAAATAATACTTGCCGTTCTTCACGATTTGCTATATTATTGAAGCGACGGAGGAACAAATTGAAGTTTGGGTAGGGTGTTCAAACTGGAACCGCTTTCATCTGCGTCATATTAGCAGCATACCATCTCACTGGGTGACTTGCTATCCTTTACAGTTAAGGTAGTTTGGCGATATAGACCAACTAGATGTGGGCCTTAGCAAGTCCTGCACATAAAATCTCTCTTATGAAGTCTCTAAACAGTCTGGCTAATTGTGATATATTATCTATTAAAGCAGTATGTGTCTTTGATGATTGCTGTTGTGTGTTGAAGAGCAAAAAGGATTCCTAATTTGAAGACAGATCACACTGAAAGCTTTGCGGTCGGCCATGATTACGGCTTTCACTCGTTTTTGTTCTTATTATTGATATTCTCTGAAGTATGACTTCTATACCATTTGTCACATGAAGAGCGACTGCTCTTGACCAAATAATGCTATTAAAAGGTTTCATTTCGGTGGGCATTTTCGATTTTACTTCCTTGTAATCGCATTTATCTTTCTGCCATGTAGCTCGTTTCAGCAAGTCGGAATGGAGGTTGTCGAATTTGGAAAGAGACTCATTGGGCAGTACTCTCCCAAATGATTGGCAAAAAGGAAAAAATAGCACGACAGTCCACTCATCCTTCGCTACTCTGTCGCGATACAATTGTACCAGACCCCAGTTTCCCTTTATGTTCTTTCTTTCGGTATTCTATCCCTTTTTCTTTGTTTCTCATTTCTACCTGATTCTTAGCTCCTCTTTTTCACTTTAACATTGAATTTAAACAGAACAACATTGAACAGAACGAAACGAAACGGGATCAACATGATACACCACTGCAAGACATCATACATCAATAGCAACTCTAGGAGAGTAATTAAAATCGAAAGCGGTATACAAAACCATTATCACAGTGTTCTGGATCAAAAACTATATTAAAATTCAATGTTAAAGACAGCGCCCGCGATGGACTTTGGCAGATTTTAGGGGTGAGATTGTTAGGACAGGTGGCAAATGAAGCATTAATCAAAGAGCAGGAAAAAAGGTGTTCAAGAGCATGAAATGGAGACTCTATTCAATTTAAGGCATCTGGACGAGTTTCGCAGATTTTGAGTGAGTCTCCGAAACATGTCGCCGCCTCGTTGCGGCTAATTCTCATGAGGCCACTACCTACAGTGCAGTTCTCAGCGGACGGTGAGGCGGTCCTAAGGCCACGCTGCCTGGCGGCCCGATATTTGCTTGTTGATCGAAAGCCGCAATAACCTTGCCCCTTCGTCTCTGATACTGACTCTACACTCTAGCGCACGCCGTCGCACAATCTACCCACTCTCCCGTTCTGGACTCTCCTTCTTCTTCTTCTTCTTCTTCTTCCTCAGCGTTTGTCCCGCTCGATGGCGGGGTCCGCTTTTGATATAATTACGCCACTTTTCCCGATTAAATGCCTGATCGGGATGGATGCCGGCATTTTCAAGTCCGTGTGCAGCGTGTCGAGCCAGCGCTGTTTCGGACGCCCTTTTGGCCGCTTTCCTGGTACCTCGAATTGGAGAGCAGTTTTACGGACGGTGTCACCCTCGCGAGAAGCCCGTGCCCGTACCATCGAAGGCGCGTTTCGCGCAATTTCTCTGCTATGGGGGCTACACCATAATTCTTGCGCACGACATCGTTACAAATGCGGTCCGATCGCGTGACGCCCGCCGTCCAGCGCAACATCTTCATCTCCATCACACCGAGGCGAGCCTCAACTTCTTTGGTCGCGGGCCAGCACTCGGCACCATTTAACGCGAGAGGTCGGACGACAGTACGGTAGGTCTTTGACTTGAACCGCTCTGGCATTTTCTTGTCACAAAGGATCCCAGACATGGATCGCCACTCAGACCATGCCGCACTCACTCGTGCGCTCACTTCCGAGTTCAGACTGCCGTCGGACGCAAGTGCTGATCCGAGATACTTGAATGTCTCCGTGCGCTTGAGCACCGTGTCATCGATCTTAATGGAGCCCGGCTCATTCGGGTCGGTTGTCAGGTACTCAGTTTTGTTGAAGTTCAACTTGAGTCCAAACTTCGAAAGGGGGGGGGGGAACGGCCCAAGCTTGCACCTGCTGTTCCAGTGCGCTCTTATCTTCACAAGCAAGCATCACGTCATCAGCATAAAGCAGGGTCCATGGCAATTCCTTCTGAAGATGTTGTGATATGGCATCCATGACGGCAACGAAAAGAAGTGGGGAGAGCGCAGAGCCTTGATGTACCATCACGTGGCACACGATCGAATGCCTTCTCCGGGTCTAAGAAAGCTACATGCACGGGCTTTCGCTTCTCACGGTGTTTCTCCAGCAATAGGCGAAAGGCATGTATGGCGTCGACGGTGCTACAACCCGCCACGAAACCACACTGGTTGGTGGAAAGCTGGACGATATCCCGAACACGGGCGTCCACAATCGCTCGAAGATTTTCATAGTGTGCGAGAGAAGGCGAATTGGACGGTAGTTCGAGCATTCTGCCGGGTTGCCCTTCTTCTTCCAAATCGGTATCGTCACGCTCTGCTGCCAGTCCTTAGGCACCTTCTTCTCCTCGACGATCTGGTTGAAGAGTTTCGTCAACCAACCCGCAGAAAACCAGCGTTGTGACTTCCACAAATCGGCTGCGATGTCGTCGGGGCCTGTTGCTTTGCCGGCCTTCATCTTCCCCAGAGCAGCTTCGGTTTCCTGTACGGTGATCTTCTGAACGGGGCCATATGTTGGTGCGGTACAGGGTATAGCGATGGGCGAATTCTACTGTTGAGATGCCCTCGAAGTATTCACGCCATCGTTGCGATACCCTTTTTCGGTCCGTCAGAAGGTGTCCATTCTCATCACTTATGCCAAAAAACTTCTCAATGTCTTCGGTTTGGCGATGACGAGATTTGGCAAGTCCGTACAGGTACCGCTCACCGTCACGCGTCTCCAGCTTCTTGCTGATATCATCGAAAGGAGCGGCCTTCACCGCAGCTACGGCCGTCTTTGCCGCCTTCATCGCTTCCCGATACTGCCGCCAGTTGTCAGCCGACTTGTGCTCGAGAAACGCGTGATAGAGTCTTTTCTTTTCGCGAACCTTCGCTTTGATGTCGTCCGTCCAGAGCCATGCCTCTTTGCCAATTCTCCGCCGTCCAGGCTTCGTCGTGCCGAGTTCGGAGCGGGCAGCCTGGGTTATAGAATTAATAGTTTCGTCCCAGGTCTCCTGAACAGTTGTGACTTCAGGTAGTCGAATACGAGAAATCACAGCTGCCTCCCGCTCTTTTAGTCGCCACCATTTTATTCTCTCAGGACCGCATCGTTCTGCCTGCCCCCGCCTGGGAGCTACAAGTCTGGGCGTGCAGATCAGTGGGCGGTGCTGTGGCAACCGTTTCATACGGTACTACCTTAGCGTCCGTCACGAGTCCTTGGTCGCCATGTCTGGAGCACAAAGTCTTTTGGGTCTTGGTACTCCCGCTGTAGAACGTGATGAGATGGGAGTCACGCTTACGAAACTTCGTGTTCAGAACGACGAGTTTATGCGACTCTGCAAACTCAAGGACTCGCTCACCATCGGCCTTCCGTAGCCGAATCCGCCGTGACAAGCATAGCCGTCTTTTGCAGCACCCACGT